AATCTTCCTGGATGAGGGGCGTGGCCACATGAGTGTGTATGTAGCTCGAAAAACTTTTCGGGATCATGTGACCTCGGCCCGGGCTCTGATTGGCAGCTGCAGACTTTCTCACGGGGCGCAGCTCGGTGCGTCCCGGACCCGCCCCTTTTTCTGTAAGCCAATTAATTTAATCTTTATTTGCTTTTGTCCTCTGTGGTTGGATATCAAAACTGTCCTTCGACGTTCTTACACCTGCACTTCCTGACACCGTCACAGGGCCTTTTGCTCCTCTGCTACTAGATGACAGTTGTGACAGCTTAATGCATCGGCCTGCTGTCAATGGAGAAAAGACTGCTTGTAGAAAAGACCGCGTGTAGAATACGTGTAACTCGGTTTAATCTTGGACAAATGTGACATGAGAACGCCCTAGTTTATTATTTTTAAAGTCATTTTTGTTCACACACCTGTCAGAGCACCACAGCCACCAAACAGCAGCTACCACAGCCTGCTATGTGAGACGTTCAGGGAGCATCAGAAATTCGTACAGTCTATAGATCAGAAAATGTTCGGCAAGTCATATGTTTTGACTTTGACAAGGTGGGAGGTGCAACAAAATGAGAAAGTGGGTCGTACTGATGCTACCAGTGAAAAAGTTAGTCTGGGGCCCTGGATAGTGTTGTTTCATTATGTATGCTGTGTGTTGAAAGGTTTTGAAATTTAGTTCTGTTAAGTCCTGATAATGTTAAATTAGATGATGATTAGAATATCCTCCAAAGGTAGACAATTTGCATTCTTGTAACTAGTTGTGTCTGATGTTACTCATATTCTAATTTCTGATTTTAAATAAAAGGTCATTTGCAGACTGAAATCAAGCTAGAATTCTCCATTTTCTATGCTTCTTCTCAAAAAATGCATGGAAAATGGTTCCTCCAAGAAGAATTGTTGTAAATAATTTCAAATCTATTAAGTTTCTGCATGAAATAAAACTGGCAGTACACAGAGTGCTCCGATTGCCTTTGAGGGAATTCCAGTAAAATATTCTGCACAATTTAGCATAGTTTTAATTTCACAAGCATCTCATTGTACAATGGCAGGCACAGTGAGAGACATTATTTTATTTCATTATTGGTGGCACGCTCTTACTGGCATGTTTGCATTTCTGCAACACAACGAGCAAAAACATTGTTTTGTGTGTCAGGTACTTAGATCTGGGCTACACAGATCCATAAATGTAAACACAAACAAAAATAAGAAGTGGACAGAATATGGTGACATAAGGACTTTTATTAGAAAGCAGATTTTTCTGTATTGCATTTAAAGAAATCAGGTACTCTTGGACTATACAACTTAAAACTGGTGATGGCAAATACCATGATGGGAATGAAAGGTAGATTCGTATGCAACATCAAAAGTGGCAACTTGCATTTCTGTTGTATATATTATTGATGCTCGAGTCAGAAGGCGCATAAACATTTTTAACATTTTTCATTTGAAACATAAAGCAGTATCAACACTGAAATTGTCCCATCCCAGTTTGCCTGGTCCAAGCCCTGTTGATAGTGAAGAACATTACCATGATCAAAGTGTAGAGTTGCATGATAAGATCCCCTTTTACCATTTGTATTGTTGTCCATCAAGAGGTTACCAATGAGCCCGGACTGAGGACCGAGTTCGGCCCATGCTCACCAGAGCATGACAGATATGGTCCATGTCAACATGGGACAGCTCTGTTCACGAAGCACCAAGGTATGAGTCAGTCCTTGTTACAAAGACACACACTTATATCCAAGAAGCCTGGAGTTAACATCACCGTGTCCCTCCGCTCTGGAGAGCAAGCTAGCACAGACCAAAGCAAGCTGGAGAAAGACAAAGCAAATAGCAAGAGCACAGCAAGTCATGTCAAATCTCCCATAGTGCACTTTGGGTCTCATCCATAATCTGATTGTCAGCGCTCTGAACACATGGCTTTAAAAGTTGCATTTACCCCTCATTTGCTAAACCCTTGGTCACTCTTGATGTTTTTCTCATCTCTCTCGTTTTTCTAAGTAGTTCTAAAGTGCTGGCATTATGTTCAAGGACACATACATACACGTACAAACTTTTAGTGCATTTTTTTTTTTTCTGAGTCTGCTGAAGGTTCAAATGCACACTCAACTGGGTAGTTAAGTCTATGTATTCCGCTCTTTATCACTACTTCGCTGTCGTCATTACAGGAGATTATGCAAACATTCAATGAAAGGCCAGGGTGTACAATAAAAATACAGCCCCACTCACTGCAAGACTCCTCAGTCTTTGTTTGCTAACAGTGACAACAGTTGTTCAGCATAAAATACATGGTGCATAAAGATCAGAGGTTTCATTGGGTTACGGGTGAGTGTCTGAATGGCATGCATTTTATGATACAAGTGTCTATTTGCATATAAATGTATTGTTTTCAGGAAGAAAAAAAAAAAACATTCAATAGAACAAAAAAAAATAAATTGTGCCCATTAGTTTTACAGTCATGGGGGATGAACGGAGCACTGTGTAAGGTTTTATAAAATAAGAACAAATTTATTTGCAACCAAATGTTTGTGAAAATCTTTTCCAACCAACAACCCCTTCCTGTTTCATATTTTGTCATTTCCGGTCCACGTGAATGAGTAAATGAGACACTGATTTGAATCAAAGAAACACATATTGTTACATGACATTTTTCCAGGACTCTTTGTTTCAGCCACCTCAAATAGAGCGCATCCTCCAAAGGGTTAGCCGTGACATTCTCTGAGAATTTCTCAGTTTATAGTGCAACATCATTCAATTTACCCTGCACAAGAAAAAAAGAAAAAACCCTAATCGATCTACAAAAAAAAGACTGGTCGATGTCCGGTAGTCGAACACGGTTTGCAATTTGGCAGGAAAAGTGAACAAGCTGGTAGAAGCTGATGTTTAATAAGAAAGACGTCTTCAAACACCTCACCCTCGGTGTGATCAAGTGGATGAACGGGTTCGACTAGAATACATATACATCAGATTTCCTTTTATTTTTTGTAAAGGTGGGTTGTCAATCTCATCTACCGAACGAGAGTCTTCGACCAAGGAGCCGTGTTGTTGTCGAATAGTACAGCGGATCTGTTATAATGGCTTTAGCTTAATTTGGCTGGTGTTCTAGCACACTTTGTCTTTACAGAATGATATGTTCTAAAACACAAAATCAGAAAATAGGTGAAAACACAATTTAAGGCTTTTTGGAGGCTAATTTTACAATCACAGTTTTAATATTGGAACAAATTTGTCTGTATTCTCTGACTATACAGCAGGTCCTTGGTCTTGTTTGTCTCCGAACATAAAGTTATGATACACATCCACACCCACACATTCACAGTCTAAGGCACTGCTCCACACCCTTTTACAGCGAACTCTATGTTTACCACGCTATATTATTTACTGGTTTATTTTAATTAGAGCTGATAGATGTTTAGTTCATTTAAATATATTCTGCCCATTCAATAAGATCTTCATAAGGCAAAGATTTCTTGTGCATGCAAAAACTAATTGAGAAAACTGCTTGTATGCATACGTGGGTTTTAAAACTTTTGGATGGCAGGTGGATGCTATTTTGCAATCTAAGGTAATAACTGTGCATTTGGTTAAACTACAAAACATACACATTTTTGAAAAGACTTCCCTTGGTGATTGGTAATTAAGATATTGGCTCCAATAGACAACTGAAAGTCTTTATTTTCTTACAAGGGCAAAACTGAATAAATGAAAAATGATGTAAAGATAGAATTTGCCCAAACTTCAACATTAAAAACATACATAAATGTTGGGATAAAATAAACAATAGAGTAATAAAAAGCCTCGCTCAGTTTTATTAGCGAAATTGCTACCTGCGGTTCATTGGAAGACCTTTTCACATTAGTTTAAAAATCACTATATATCACTAAAGCTTTAGGTACCCAGCCTCACAGTCAGATTAATTTGTTGTTATGGCCCATTTTACAATTGGAAAAAAAAACTGAGTCATATATATATATAAATAAAAAAAAGAGAGAGATTCAATATTTTACCAAATTCAATCAAGGCTTGGACCCCGGCCAAAGCAGTGCTACAGTTTACATTCATCCATCATCTCAGCCATTCCATCACAGCCGCGGTTGATCTATCGCAGATCGCATTTCTTCCAAAATAAAAAAAAAAAAAGCAAAAGATACTGTAAACGTCATTATTATTACCTAGTGCAATTACAACCCTGTGTTTCTTGTGCAGGGCCATCTTAAAGCTTCCCCGAAAACAAGACACCTCGAGTGCAGACAGAGAATAATCCGGCCCAACCTTTGAAGTGGCAACAGCAGTAAAGCATCAATAAACAAATATCACATGCACGTTCTGCATTTTCCCCCCCAGTTCTAATTTTGTGTGACCACTTTAATAATTTAATTTTTCACTTTCCAAAATGTCGGTGGCTTAAAATAACTTTCAGCTCATTCACTTAAAATAATGGTCTGGTCTTGTGATTAAATGTGCTTTCATTGCAGATTGGGGAAATGCAAAAAAAAACAACAATCTTCTCAAATGAATGCATGAAACAGTAAAGAAAAGGCTGTTTGGACTGTGTCCTATGCTTGGCAAAAAAACAAAAAGCATGAAAACAGATATCAAAAAAAAGAAAACGGTTACGACAAATGCAGGTTAAAGTCCCTGTCCGACATGGTCTCACTCCCCCTTTTCCAAAATAAAAGAAACAGTCATCGTCAGAAAGACCTGTTGTTTCTTTCCAAACCCGCAATCCCCCCCGATCAAAGAAACAATCAGGGTGATGAGGTGGAAATTTGCAGTCTTTTTTTTTTGTTTAGTCCAGGCCCATTTTTGCCAAACTCCTCAGTTTCCCACCCTTTAACCTTCTTAAGTGCAAATGCAATAAGCCAGCATAAATTGCTCTTATAAGTTTTATTCAATAACTTACCCACCCCCCCCCCCCCCCCCCCCCAAAAACAAACAAACGAAAACAAGGATGGAAGCAGGACTGTGTAGTCTTGGTGCATATCACTTCACCACATCGAGGCGGAACAGTGCTTCTCTCTTTTGCTTTTTATTCTTCTACCACTCAGTGTAGTGCACTTCTTCTTACTACTCCGTATATTCAGTCTCCTCTACTTGTGGTGACAGCACACTCCGTAGTTAAAAAAAAACAAAAAAACAAAAACAAAACAAATTAAATTCCAATTGATACTGTGTTAAACACAGTCAATCCCAGGTCACACCCAGGTCAGTTCTAACATGTGTCAGACTGAGGTCAGATCCCACTGAGGTCAGATCTTGCTGGAGAAAGTCCTTTTGCGTATTAATGGCATATCTCGAGGCAACAGTAGCTGATATCTTATTTAGATGCAGGTTTGTGGCTTTGTTGTTGTTTACAATAATTCTTTCTATCCATTGTTTGTATTAATGCATGCAAGCTTGGATTTTAGTGCACGTTCTTGTTCACGTCTCTCTCTGCATCTCCAAGACAGAACGATGTAATTTAAAAGGTTTTTCTTTCTTTTTTTTAAACAGCATTGTAACATTTCTTTCTTCTTTTTTTTGTGGACAGTGTATTTTAAATACATTGATGTGGATATTAAAGGAGTCGAACATGTGTGCACGTGTGTGTGTGTGTGTGTGTGTGTGTGTGTGTGGATGGGAGGGGCGGTCTGGAGCAGACACAGGCATCACATTGACAATCTAATCCAATATGTCACGGGCGAATATGCATGAAAAACAACTCCATGTGATAGATTTGTTTTCCAGACTGTGGAGAAGCATTTAACATTTGCGGAAAACCATATCGGAATTTTTCTATCACACACCTGATGTGCTGATTTGGCAAGGAGGAAAACTGTTTTGCTTAACGATGCCAATACAGTACGCGACCTTTAAGTGTAATACAATCTTTGTAATATAGTTATACATAATTACTATACAGTAACGTACTGCAAAGTGGTCGGACGTTGCGAACACGGCTCTTTTCGGGGAGCTGCGTCTCTCTGATCTTTCCTTTTCCAAGGTTACACGGGTTATTTTCAGATGCTGCTTTCCAAGAAAACGGAATCATTTTACAAACCATTATACCACACTCCATAAACTGCCAACAAAGCAGCTGTTGCTTTTGTATTGCGCTGAAATGATGAATCATTACAGCCATTTGTTCTCCTATCAGGCCTTTGTAATATTGCTGTGGGTGCTGAAATACAGAGTATATACTGGCTATACTGAGAAAGGGGGTGGAGCAGAAAGGGTCGATTTTCTGAATGTGCAAATGCCATGCCTGTGTCTACTTCTACTATCAGTGTTCTATTTCCACTATCAGTCAGTACGCGAATACACAAGCACACGTGTGCGCATGCATGTGTGACAGATTCCTGTATAGTAAGATCTATGAGTGCAGCTGTTTGTGCTGAAAGATTCTCGTTGAGGAAGCACAGAGGAGAAGTAAAGAGTGGTGGACGAGATGTTAGAGTAAGAGAGCAAGCAAAAGAAAACGTGGTGTTAAACAGATTTCACAATATGAGAGGCAGCCCAGAGGGACATTCACTGTCCGTTCACCCTCAGACCTTGTCCAAAACTTTCCCCTTCCGGCTCAGGCGGCGTGTCGCCACAGCTGCCCGCCTCGGCTCCCGGGATCAAAGTCGGCGCCCCCAGTGATCCGTCCACGCCCTCCAACCCACCTTCATCTTCATCTTCCTCCTGTTCCTCTTGGACTACTCCTTCACCTTCACCTTCAGCCTCTGCTCCAGCTGCCCCAGCGGATCCAGGGCTGCCTTCCGTCAGCGGTGGGTGAGTCCTGAGAGGGTCCTTGCGATCTGGGTACAACCTTTGCTCTAAGGTCTTGAAGTCAGGCTCAAAGGGGAGGGAAACCCCCGACTGAGGGGCACCCAGAGCGAGGCCCAGACCTACAGCAGCACCCATGCCCATCCCTGCACGGTACACCTCCATGCCGTCGGGCAGCATGGACTTGATCTTGGGCAACCATCGCTTGCGGACACGCCTCGCATTTGTGCACATGTCAGCAGCAATCACATTCATTTCACTCTCCTTGAAGTTAGGGTTGAAATTTTGACAGTAGACTGTGGAAGACAGAGAATAGCAAAGTCCTTATTGACAAATTGCTCTCTTTGCAATATCTATCACATTTATCATTAGAAGATCTGGACAGTAAACTTACGTTTGACAGCGTTGAGGACCCTGCTGTCCAGGGGTTTCCTACTGGGGTCACTAGTAGACGAACGGATGCCTGTCCCACAGCTATTGGCTAAAGTGTTTCTGCAGGGATACAGAGTCAACACCAGGGGGCAGAGTCAGCAACAGGCACATACAGCAGATAAACATGGGAATACACACAACTAACCGCATTGCACAACATGGCCACAGATGGGGTGTGAAAGTTGGTTTGTGACAACAGAAGTAGTGTCGGAGTCATACACAGAACTCAGATTTAAGGGACCGATAGAAACTGTTTGATGCAACCTCTTCTTTGACCGTGTCTTTGTACTCACCTATCAAAGAACGTGGCTAACAGGCGGCGGAGCAAGACTTTGTGTTTGATGCCGGCACACAGATGACAGTTCATCAGCTGGCCTCGGGTCATGAACACCTGTGTACCTGTGTGGCACGGAGACAAAGAAGGAAGTTGCTGAGAAACACGTTCACACTCCAACCAGTTTCTTTGCTTTTAAAGACTTCTGTCTGTTTGTTCCATTTCCCAGGTTATCTGTAAGTCTGTTCTACATTTTAGGTGCATGTTCAACAAGTTTCAACTGTCAGAAGTAGAATCAGAAATTTTGAGAGGAATAGTAGATCAAATACAAAACACATTTTTAATTTACTTGGTTTTGTTTTCTTTTAAACACCATCTTTTTCACATTTAGGCATTTTGCATCTTACACAAAGACCAATTACACATTTTCACAATGTTCCCATCTGTTCTTAATGAAATGACATTATGATTTGATTGAATTTGACCATGTGGTAACTTTCTGAACTCTTGCACCAGTCCACATTTTCATTACTGACCACATCTTGCATGTGAACGTTTCCTTGTGTGCAGCTGTGTCTGTCTTTAAATTACACTAGGAACCATTCTGACTCCATTCTTCTGTCTGGACGGATTCAGCACTAAATTGATTCAATTTTTTGCCACGCTCCATTGTAGAAATTATATGACCTACATGTTGAGTGGTACCTGTTCTCTTTGAAAGTCTCTGGCTCGACTGCCAAGAGCGATATCTGGTAGCGAGACCAAAGAGTTCAGCTTTGTCTCATTATACCAAAACAATCTTTTTCCTCGTCCTCTCGGAGCTCTGTGAGGGCCATTTGGCAAACTCCCGGCAGGCAGTCATATGCTTTTTACTCCAGAGTGACTTCTGTCTAGTCACTCTTCCATAAAGGCCTGATTGATGATAACTGCAGAGATGGTTGTCCTTCTGTCACAGTCTAAAATCTCTGCAAAGAAACTCTGCAGCTTTGTTTGATCCCTTTCAGACGGGCCGACACAGGGACGTGGGTCAAAGCTTCTACGGCAGTCAGTCTGAATAACTCAGCGTACCCTCTCCTGACCTGAGCTGAATGCGGGTTCAGACGCTCCCTTGGTGAACAGATTTTATTCAGTGACAAGGGTTTAATTTCAAAGTATTGACTTTAGAGCACAATTTAACCCCAGCGTCTCAATTATATGCTTCAGCTCTAATGTATACTGAAATTGCGCATGCAGCAGAGAGAAGGCAGCCTGTATACATAGAGTTCATCCTTATTACCCCTTATTATTAAAGGTCACTGGGTTGTAGATAAAGTCACTGCTCTCTTCACTCAGTCCTATACAAGCTCTTTTTGATTTTGAAGTATTTCTATTTCACGGGGATGGAGCTCTCTCACCTTCTGAATTTATTAGTTTAAATTAATTCAATCAGTTACATTTATTTTTGTAAGTATTGAATTTCAAATGATCTAGAGCGGAGATATGAATATTTTCCAAGCCCGCTGCATATCAATCTCTGGGAAACTGTATAATGTGGGGGAGTAAATGTATACGAGTGGATGCATGTGTAGGTGTGCGTCTGTGCATGTGTGCGCCTACCAGCTACCAATTCCAGCTTCTCCCCAGGGTCCCCCTCAGTGTAGAGCTTAGGGTGGCAGCGGTAGCCTATCTGGCTTATGAGGCTTGCAGGCAGCGCCACCAGGTCCCTGCGGATCAGCACGCAGTTGCGGTTCTCCAAGGCCAAGGGCACCGCTGCCATCTCTGGCTTGTCCTGAACTAATAAAAGCAAGGAAGAACAGAATGATTTTAGGGAAGAAGAAAAACAAAACACAAAAAAAAAAACACAAAAGGTTTTATGTTACACAGAAAAACAGGAAGCGATAAATGTGTATGTATCCATCAGTCTGTTAGAATATAAACTAGAAAAACAATTGTTCATAGCTACCTACTGTGGCAGCATCAAAATAGAAGCTATACAGTTTAATTAGTAAAGCAGGTTGTGGTAATCTCATACAAGTTTTTTGTGTTTCATAAATGTTTCAGAGCATTGCAGATGTATCCTGGATAAGTCATGATGCTGTATCAGCAACTTGAGTTTTGGAGAGGGACATATCCAAAACTGGGTGTCGGGTTCACACTCACAAAATGTTTCCCCCCCCGAACCTCTAAGATGACTCACACACGCATGCACACACATAGAGAACAGGAGAGATGAATCCATTAATTGTCACACGTATCCACATGCTGAAAAAGTGTGAATTAATCTATTTGGATGTGCATAGACACTTGTGCCAACACACACTCTGTCACACACACACACACACAGAGGAAAGATGTGCATAGGTCTCAAATATCCTACAATGTCACCCTGGGGTGCTCTGACTGATTGCAGATAGAGTGGATTTCATAAATATCTGAAACTCTAGAATTTGACAAGCCTGTGTGCTGCCTTTGAGCTGCAGGATGTGAAGAATGATGGAGCGTGTGCACACATGTGGGTTTGCGACTATCCATCGGCACACGGTCTGCGTGCTTATGTGAATGCCAACACAAGTGACTATACTGTCTGTGCTTGCATGTGTAGGAAAGTCTACACAATTCTGAAATTGAAGTAGAAAATCATAACAAAAAAAAAAAGCCGTACAGGCCAGCTGTTGAAGCTGTGATAAGGAGAGTGTTGTTGGTCACGATGTACTCCAATCATAACTCCATAAAGCTATCTTTATGCTGAGAGAACCCACACACACACTGGAGGCACAACATCCTGCTTTTTTAAGATGTGCAAGATACATGATTTATGAAAGATTAAATAATGTAACTGGGAAGCAATGAATGTGCATCGTTTTTTTTTTTTTAACACAACACACACAACAGGTTTGTAAAACTGTACATTTATGCTTATATTTCCTGCAAGTCATGCTGAGTTTTACTTTGAGATTGGTCTGATAGCAAATGAATTTCCTCCATCTGAACCAAGGGCAGTTGAGAAAGAAATGCACTTAGTTAGATCTTACTTGACTAGATGGATAACATTGAAACATCCTTGCCATTGAGACTGTCTTTTAGTTCTGGACTTGAAAAGTAAACGCTGTAAATACATGCTGTAGGTTAGTGTGGTGGAATGAAACATCCTTGAGTTGGTTGCAAGAAAAAATTGAAAATTACTTCAGGACTGTATTTCAAAAGCGTAAAGCTTCAGTTTGATACGGACTGTAACACCTTACAAAGATTTTATAAATGTATGAAACACAACGTAATACTTACTTCCATAGGGGTTGGCTGAACGTCCATAGAGATGACTGTAGGCCTCCTCAGTGATCCCGTCGTAGGGCTCTTCCTCAAACTCCTCATCCTCGTTCTGGTAGGACGTGGGACTGTCGGTGGTGGGCAGACTAGACGCTCCAGGACTGGACCTTTCACCGCCTGCTCCTCCTCCTGCTGCTCCACCTCCACTGACCCCTTGAAGGTGGAAAGGAGGCATCCCGGGGATGGGGGTCCCTCCAGCCGTTGTGTAGAACAGCGAACTGGCCCTCGCCAGCCGACTCCCCAGCTCCGAAGACGAAATCTTGCTTTGCGTTGAGGGTACTGTCAGGGGCGTCGGATCACCCCCCTCGAGTTTAATCTTCCGTTGCGGCATGAGCAGGGATGGAGACCAGCCCGGGGTCCCCAAAAGGGCGGCAACTGCAAGACCGTTTCCATTATTACAAGGACTCTGTGGCTCAGATCCTGTTTCTTCTAAGGACCCTGCTGTTTGTGAGTCACAGTGAGGTGAGTTTGCCTTGAACATTAGGTCCATGCCTCTTTCAACTATATGCTGAATTTGGAGGTAGCCAGCTGTGTACATGACCACTAGCTGTTCACTAGCTGCCATTGTTAGCTTCCCTGTATAGCAGAAAGTGAGGATCTGCTCAAAGCAAGCAGGTGTGACTGAGGAAGGCAACTCAAACTGGGTCTTGGTAGAGCTGCTGAAGAGGTCACGAAAGTAGAGGCTGCTGGCAGCCAAAACGGCTCGGTGGGCTTTGAAAGCCTGACCTGTTTGAGAAAAGAATGTTCAGAACGTTTATAAAAAAATCCAGTATTGTTTCACAGTTGTGCAAATAATATAAAATCTCCAGATTTGCCGCGAACCAACCTTTGACCAGAATGGATACATCACAGTAGTGTCCCAGCAGGCGCTGCTCATTAAGGGAGCCCAGAACCGTGGCTCCAAAGTTCGGGATCTCCACATGGAGCAGCTGGGACATGTTGGCCGCAAGGGAGAGGAAGATGGAGTTTCAGATATTCACTGCAGACTCTGCCACTGAGAGAGGCATCTGTAAAAAACAAAAAAAAAGAAGGAATAGAAAATGCATTGAAGAAGCGAAATACAGTGACAAAAAAAGGAGTGAATAGAAAATGCGTGAAAGATGAAAAGACATGCCAGAGGGAGGTAGAGAGGCGAGAAGAAAAAATTGAGAGAATCTTAGGAGGAAGCAAAGAGTAAGAATGAAAATAGAGTTGAGATAAAGTGAGAAAAGGAATACAGTTAAGGGAAAAGTGAGAGGTGTGTGAAAGAAAGATGGATATGTGGAGATAGTGGGTGAGAAAGTAGAGGCAGGAGAGAAAATAGGAGGAGTCAAGTCACTCCACAAGGGGAAAAAAAAAAAACAACTAACACAATGGCGTGCCTACTGTACATAGAATGTTGTGAAATATCTTAAGGCTATGTTGTTTTACATCACTTAAATTCCAAGAAGCTTGGACTCATTCCATGTATTGCACTAAATGCATCAACAACAGTTCTCCCGCTGCATGGACTTTGATGACCTGAAAGTCCGCCTTGACAACAACTTTTCACAGGGAAGAAAAACCACACTGAATACAATCAGTGTTTCATTCCACACTGTGGAGACTCTCCTTGAATTTGCTGACACGATACGTATGTCAGCGTTTGTCCTCGTCCCAAACTCGGGGCTGGAGGAAAAACAATCCAATAGCCCGACACACAATTTCATCTTAACTTTGATAGCTCCTTTAACTCCTTTTTCAGTAACACGCTCCAGGCATATTTGCACCTCCTTTCTTTCCCTGAACCTTGTATCATTGTTTCTGTCTCCCCACCAACCCACACACACATACATATACGCACTAGTTTCATTATTGAGCAATGCTGCAGAACAGTTTCCAGGAATACAAACTGAAAAAAAAAAAAATGTCACCGCCTCTTTCTCACATACACACACACTTTCTCTCTCCCACTTCATGCACTCCATACAGACAGACATGCACTCTGGCTTACTTACATAAAAAGTGTGCATGCACAAATACACACACACACACAGACACACACGCAGTACAGGCTGCATAAGGAAATTACTGTGTACTCTGGCATAGAAGCACTCACCTGGAGAAACCAGTATATGACTTTCCCCCTTTGCTAACAGTCTCGTACACATGCACAAATGCACAAAAAAAAAAAAAAGAGTGTTATCCCAGACAGTTCTGACCTGTGTAAGCCAGTCTTCTGGTTCAAACACACACAAACACAGCAGCAGCAGCAGCAGCAGCAACAACAGCAGCAGCAGCAGCAGCAGCAGCAGTCAGGACCAGGACAGAAGAGGAATAGTTAGAGATGGAAGGAGAGCACTCTGATGTACTCCGTCTGGTCGACTCTTTCTTTCACTTAAAGTGTCATTCCCACTGCCTCAAAAAAGATGATTCCCTCTGCTGTCTGACTGACTTTTTCTCTGTCTGTCTCTCCCAGCCTATCTTCTATCTCTTCTATATCCTCCAAAGCCCCATTCTCTCTGCTCACTGTCTGTTCTAGCACTGTCTCAAAGCCTCCCTCTGCCTCCTTGTCATTATCTCTCTCTGTTTCTCTCTCTCTCTCTCCCCTCTCTCTCTATTCTCCAAGGGTTGAATTCAACAAGTGCCGCTGTAGAGAGAGAGAGAGAGAGAGAGAGGGAGGGAGAGGGAGGGAGGAAGAGAATGAGATAGAGAGAGAAAGAGAGAGGGGGGGAGAAAGAGAAAGAAAGAGAGAGCAGAGCAGAGCAGAGCGAATCAATGATGAAAGGAGTGGGAGGCTCGGTGTGTGTGTGTGCGCGCGAGAGTGTGTGTGTGTGTGTGTGCGCATGTGTCTGCGCGCGTGTGTCTGATCAATGCAGTATCTATACGTCGCAGGGAGTGGGAGGGAGAGAAAAACACAGGCTACAGTTACAGACGGAGACAGAGACTGGGCAGAGCTAGAGAGTATCAAGGGAGGGAGGGAGGGAGTTGAGACAGAGAGAAAGTCATTTGAGGACAGTACGAGTAGAGAAAGACAATTAGGTTGAAGCAACTTCTGCCACTTGCCCCTGGACACAGATGTCTATATGGTCCAACGGCAAACGGGAGGAGAATGACTAAGACAAAAGAGAAACGCTTTGCAGAGGTCACAGCCGGCATTATAATTAATTAAGACATCGAATAGTGAAACTCCTGAAATCCCTGCTTGACACAAGTCTGGAGAGAATGCGTCACAACTTGGTAAAGCAAAGCTTCGCTAAAATGGAAGCTTTACTATACACAATGCAATAATCCTCTAATCCCACCAAAAAAAATGTAGAATTGAAAAGATTCATCAAAAAAGAAAACACACACAATCTGCCGTGTCAAGGTATTTCCCATTTTTCTTACAATCTTTGTAAGACAATAGTTAAAAAAAAAAAAAAAAAAGGAGGTTTTACTTTTGAGCAAGTGTTGTGTATTTTCTCTGAATCATGCAAGGACATCTCTGCCAAACACCTACACATAAACAGAGAGCAGTACTGTCTTCACGCAAGACTATTTTGTATTGCTACATGAATTGATAAATTAAATGATTAATTTACGCCTCCGCTTTGGTAGCTCGGCTTATTCAAGTGACATTTCTGTGTTTTCTGTTGTTACTTTTTTGGCCGGCGCATACAAAAAAGGCCTCCCTACGTGCTTCTTGATGTGGATAAGAGAGGACAGGAGCCAGATGTCACCGCCTGTGACAGGACAACAGCTAAGAGAGAAAATACAACAGCTATCAAAGAGGATAAGTTCCAGAAAGATGTGTGTGGGAGGGTATAAATGCAAAACTGCTGCTACGGATGAGTAAGAGAATTTTTACAGTATGTGTGTACATACAAACACGCACACACACACACACACACACACGTAAATGTTGTGTAATCCTTGCATGTCAGAGTAAAGAAAAAAAAAAAACAATAGGGAGAGCTCTCTGACTGCCACGCTGCATTTTAGATGATGAGACATAAAGTAAACCTTTCTGTAAATGATTTCAAAATCTCATTCCATCTTTTCACCGCACAATACGCAATCTGTTAAAAACATATAAAGCTGATGCAGAGCTTTTTTTTCTTTCTTTTTTTTTTTTAAATATCTGAGCGTGTCCCCAGAAAGTATCAAGACACATTGCGCTTCAGTCTTTGCCAAAGAAACCTCAAGTGGAGAAAGTTGTGCTAAACTGAGCAAACTTTTACTCTTCTGTCACAGCGGAAATATGAAAGGGAGGATATCACAAAGCACTGAATACAGTGAGTCAGACTTTGGTTTAGAGAGCTTTGCCCCAGCAGTGTGATATCTGCACAGCACATATAGGCACACATGAGTGAGCACACACAAAAAGCACAGTCAAACGCAGGAGAAACAAATCCGCAAACACACTAATGCAAACAGACATATACACAGTCCTCGGCTCTCACACGCCAACACACAGTCAGGTAATCTCCCCGTGCACACTCAGCAATACACATTCTGTTTGTTTGTCTGTCTGTCCTTCTGTGAACCGGCCAGACTGCCCGTCCGTCGGTCTGTCCATCACTTATTGTAACTACCGTGTCCTTACATCGCCTCTCGCTTCTCCCCTCTCCCTTTTTTTTTCCTCTATCCTTCCCGCCCTGCATACCACGTACCCACTGTCTCTCTGCCAATTAATGCACACAGGGCTGCATTGCAGTGAGGTTGGCGCGTGCCACGGCAGCAAGCACAGTACAGAGTCTACAGACATGCATGTACGTGCCAGCCAGGCAGAGTGAGAGGGAGAGGAGGGTAGAGGAGAGAGGGAGGGAGGGAGGGAGGGAGGGAGAGTGAGGGAAAAGAGGAAGAGGGAGGGGGGGAGAGAAAGAGCAAAGGAGAGTGAGCGGAGAATATGTTGAGTCAGGCAGACAGGACGGTGGAGTGCCACATTGCACATACACTCAGCCGCATGTTCATGTAAATGTATGCACGAATGGATACGAAACAGAGCTGTATGTACACGTTCATAATGGGAGTAAGTGCAAAGGTGCGCGGCTTCACACAAATATAAAAGTGCACACGCACGCAAACATGCACATGTAAATTCCAACCTCCTGCTGCCTGCATTAAATATAGACTTTGCACATCCCTGATAAAAAAATATAAGGCATGAACTCCCTCAACTTGTTTGTCTAACGAGGGATTATATGTGTGTGTGCGTGCCTGCCTCTCTGCACCTTGTGTCCTCATTTCCTACTGAGTCTGTTTGCATTTCCATGTCAAAGTTTCTCGCATAGGTACCAAGGCGTGTTTTTACAATCATCATTATATACCCGGCTGTGACTTTTGGCACTTTACGCGACACATGCATGCGTGTGTGCGTGTGTGTGTTTGTGCAGACAGAGTCTGTGCGTTTAGATATGAAATTTGAATACTGTTCTGATTGCCATTGTCTGCTTTGTTGGAATGTGTTACATCCATTTTAATCAAGGATTCATACCTACGCACAGTGTTATTAACTGTAGCAGCAGGTCCAGGCATATTTGAATAATATGAAGAAATGAGACGATTCGCCAGATGGCAAACAAACACATGCACACGCACACATACACACAGATTGTAATTACTAGTTATACTGTAGCTGCCCACTAAAGGACAATAGTGTAACATTCAAACATAAAACCATAAAAGTCATACGCTGCTGTGATTCATGCTTTCGCCATTTTGTACTTTGTGGAATACTTTGAATAAGTTCAACGTGGAGGTAAAGTTAGTGTCACAGGATGCAGATCACAGAAAGTCAACTAAACCAACGTTCAGGAGACATTTTTATCAAGGCACAGGAAAGCAACAACGTTAATTAGCAGCTCGTTTAAAGCGCAGCAATCCACGAAAAAAAAGCGAACTGGATGAAAATTTTGAAGTGAGCCGAACAGGAGCTCATCCTTCCTCCCTTGCTTATGTTGTCTCTATACAATCTCAATATGAACAGTCCCCTCGTTATAAATATTCAGATCCTGCAGTTGTTCTCATGTCTAAAGTGTACCAGACAACAGATTCTATCCACGTTGAGACGGCAACGCTCCCTGGCAACAGTTCTACCAATCGGGAACGAGCGGGTGTCTGCCTGGGTCTGTCTGAGTATCATTATGGGATGTCGAGAGAGAGAGAGAGAGAGAGAGAGAGAGAGAAAGAGAGAGGCTCCTTATCACTGCTTATAATGCAACATCATTCTCTGTGTATAGACCCTGAAGTTGTCTGCACATAGTCAGGATCAAAATCATCTTTTCTTAAAAAAAAAAAAAAAAAAAAAAAATCCTATTATTATTCATGCAGTTATGTAACAAAGAGACAACTATGAAATGATTTGTTGTGGGCTGAATATTGTCTGGTATCTTTCCACTTGTATTCACTCAATATGCACCAATAATGTAACTCGTGGTCTGACGAGGGAAAAAAAAAAACACAACGGCTGAATTTCAGTTCTAACTCATGGAACAATGTTGTCTGATGCAATACAAAAATGACAATGTGAGCATGAAGTCAAATTGAAAATCGCATACCAGGGCGGAAGGGTGTGACGTCAAACCAGAATCATCACAAAACATCACACACAAGTTGGGTTTTTTTTAAAAGACACTGCTGCTTTATAATTTATATCCGGCTCACTTCTGATTTTGTCGTGATTAATACCACGGCTTGGAGTTTCTGCTCTTGCGGACTGGACTGTAAGCTCACTAGAACTTTCCAACTCCTAGTTTTATATAACACCACAACAGGTTTTTTGTCACTCAAAGCAACTGCGGCTAATATTCTATAAAAACAAAGGGTCAAATGACTATGTGTGAAGTATAAGGGGCCACTTGTGGTTCAAACCCACAGAGAATTATTACCAGACTTTACAGTTCCTCTCGGCTCTACATCCGGCCTATATCTAAATAGTTTTGGTTCACTCTCACCACTCGCAGCATTGTTTTGGTCAAAGCAGATGACTGCTTTCACCAAATAATATCTGATAAAGCCATTGAAATCTACCAAAAGGCAGACAGAATAGCAGATAAAGATATGTTTGGCTGAGAAGATGGTGGAGACCAAAAACAGAGCACAAAGGAGAAACTTATTTGGCCACATGACCAGACATACAACTTTAAATAATTGTATTTTTTTTGTCCAAATCTTCGGGATGTATTAGTGTTTTAGTTTATTTGAACAAATATGTCTTCAGTTTTGAATCACCTACACATGTCTAGCAATTAAACTGAAAACAGAAGTATGAGCAAACTTGTACGATAAAGAGAATCTAACCTTCGGAAATTTGATTAATTTCATTTACTGCATTTGTATTATGTCGTCTGCTGCTACTAACTTTAATGGTCACTGTTTATCTCCCTCTAACATCCAACAGCCAGCGGCTTTTGTGTGATTCACACAAAAAGAACAATAACATCCATCCATTCATTTCTACAACTGACTCTTTTGTGTAGTTTCCAGGGGACTATCATGCACACACCTACTCGCAAATGTACTGTGCATGTCGTATTAATGTGCAGCCATTCTGGGGAAAGAAACCAGCGATGAAGCAAGTTGACAACCACCACCTTTCATCCCAA